CCCGAAACGTCAGCTTTCCTGCTCCTCTGCTGCTTGGCCTGCTGTGTTCATCCAGCTCTACACCGTGTTATCTCAGATTCTCCAGCATCGGCAGTTCCTATTATCTCTGTAAGGATCATACCTGGGTGGGTGGGTTGGGGTGGGTGGGTTGGGGCGGGGGGGTGGGGGGGTGGGGGGGAGCGGTGGGGAGGCAGCGGTGGCGTGGTGGTAGGGGACTGTCTGTCAGGCAAGCAAGTAGAGTTCAGACCACAATCAGAGCAGACTATGTGCCAAATGGTCTACTCCTGCTCCTATTTCTAATGGTCTTATGATTTTATTCAAGTGGGAAATTATACTTTAAAATAAAGAGTTCAAACTTGGGATTTTCTCAATCCATATAGCCTTTATCATATTATATGTCATTAAAAGTACTAAACTAACTTAGTCAAGATATTTAATCACTGTCAAGTCATTTAAATGATCATAGGATCCCCTCATTATAGAGGCAGGCCATTCGGCCCAACAAGTCCACATGGACCTATTGGAAAGCATCCCACCCAGACCCATCCCCCTATCCTATCCCTGCATTTCCCATAGTTAACGCACCTAACCTACACATCCCTGAACACTATGGACAAATTTGGCACAACCAATCTACCTAGCCTGCACATTTTTGGACTGTGGGAGGAAACCGGAGCATCCGATGGAAACCCACGCAGACATGGGGAGAATGTGCAAACTCCACACAGGCAGTTGCCCGAGGCTGGAATTGAAATTGAACCTGGGTCCGTGACACTGCGAGGAACAGTGCTAACCATTGAGCCATCGTGTCGGCCAGTCGTCCCTAACAAGAGAGTGTGATGAACTGACATCCCCGTGGATTTTGTTTTGAAATGAAACTGACTTCCTAGTAGAAATACTAAATTACAATCAGAAAATGGATCCATTTCACATTTCAATAAGGTAAAATAACTGATGATAAATACAACCTGAAAATCCAGATATAAAACATACTGGTGCAGAGTTCATGTGTTCCAATATATCAATTTAATGCCCATATATCTTGTGGAGGCAGTTGGAAGAGAGGATTTTCTCCAGGCGATAGGAAAGAGCAAGGAAAGAGCAGTCACATACACACCTCATGATAGTCAAGTATAAAACAGAATTAATAAAAGCATGAAAAAAAATTCAGAATCAAGTTTTCTGCACACAAAAGCTCACAACACAGTTCATTCCAGAAGAATGGGAAAGTAAAATTAAACCTCTGACAGAAATTATATTTTCAAAACACTTCTGTTAGTAGAAGCATAGATACAAGACTGGCTGAGGAATAGGTCAGAAAGTGTGATGGGGAGTGGGTACTTTTCAAGCTAGCAGAAAGTTGTATTGGTATTCCCTACAAGTCAGCATTGGGACTCTTGTTTTTCCCAGGTGTATATACAGGTGACTTGGATCTTGGAGTGCAAGGGATAATTTTGAAGTTTGCAGATGACACAAAACTTGGAAGAATTGTAAACTGTGAGGAGGAGGAGATGGTGAAGTCAGTGTATACGTGGATGAAGTTCAACAAGACGACATGAGAGATGATACATTTTGATTAAAAAGAACTTGGAGAGGCAGTATGCAACAAAGGGTACTATTCCAAAAAATGCGTAGGAGCTGAGAGACCTGGGAATATAAGTGTATAAGTTGTGAAATATGGCAAAACAGGTAGAAAAAACTATTGATGAAGCATAGACAATTTTAGGCTTCATTAATTGGGGCACAGAGTACAAGAGCAAAGACTCTACACTGAATTTATACAGTCACTAGTTAGATCTCAGCTAGAATATTATGCACGGTTCTGGACAGCACACTTTGGAAAAATGTGAATTCATTGGAGAGTGTGCAAAAGACATTTACAAGAATAGCTCCATGGATGAGCAACTTTAAATATGAGAATAACATCCCTACTTTGCATTTAAGCTAGGAATTCTCCCACACGGAACTTACTTTCTCTCTCCCCATTGTCTGTCTATCAACTACAAGGTTTGAGCCATACCTGGATGCACATGGATAGAAAACACTCGAGAATCTTCACACTGTCCAAGACAAAGCAGCCTACTTGATTGGCATCCCATTCACCACCTTCAGTATTCACTCCCTCCCCCACCAGCACACCAGTGACAATCCATTGAGAGGTGAATGTGGGACTCTTTTCCTTGGAGAAAAGGCCTAGAGGAGATTTGTTAAACACTTGCAAAACGATGGCTGGCCTGGACAGATTAGATGAGGAGAAACTGTTCCCATTCGGGGAAGGATCAAGAAATAGGGGCACAGGTTTAACGTGTTTTGCAAAGCAATACAAATGGGAATGAGGAAAAGCTTTTCATACAGCAAGTGGTGAGGGGATCAAATAGTTTGGAGGGAGGTTCGACTGAGGCACTCAGGAGTCCATTACATGATTATTTAAATAGTAAGTATCCAGATTATGGGGAAAAGGGTAGTAATTTGGTAGTAAAGCAAAATGCTTAGACAACCTGTACAGACTTGACAGGCCTATGGGCAACATTCTGCACTACTAAAAGTCTGTGCTATCTGCGAAAGGTATTCTTTCCTGTGGAAAATAATTGAATATCATTTTTAAGCATAATCTAAATACACGGACAATAGGGTCTCCACTCTGTGATAACTCAAGTGAGAGTAAGTTACCCGATCAGCTAATCCTCCAGGTACAACTGTTTTCACAATTACTCCTGTTGGCTTTCCTCCTACAATTCCAAATCCTAAGCCTGATCCATCACTGACCAATTCAATTTCTTCAACATGCTGCCAATTAATCTGAAATAGATGGAAAACAGAAATAATTTATTTTACAGCAATACAAAACAGCTTTTTATTCACCAAAATCAATCCATTCACAGATGACTCAAGGTCAGCAAGAACTCATGAGCACTTTTGAATAGTACGGTAATTGTGTTGTGGCTTCTACTGCTCAAAACATTAACGTACATAAATAGAAACTGTAATTAAAATGTTTCTGTTCAAAACTACATCTTTTGTATTTTTGTTCATGGAATGTGGATATCACTAACTCAGCAAGCATTTATTGTTCATCATTAATTGCCCTCAAGGTGGTGTTGGTGAGCTGCCTTCTTGACCCATTGCAGGCTTTGGGAAGTAGAGACATCCAGAGTACTGTTGGGAAGGGAGTTCTACAACATTGAGCCAACAATGGTAAATGACCAGCAAAAGAGAGACACGTCAGGATGGTGTGTGGCTTGGCGGGCAAGGTGCAGATTGTGGTGTTTCCATGCATCTGCTATCCTTCTCCTAGTTCACAGTAGTCACAGATTTGAAAACTGCTATCAAAGGAGCCTCCATGAGTTACTGCAGTGCAACTTGTAGGTGATATACACGTGACTCCGCTGTTCGTTGGTGGTAGAGGGAGTGAATGTTGAAGGTGAAGGCGGTGAATGGGGTGCCAATCAAATAAGCTATTTTGTCCTAGATAGTGAGATTCGAGTGTTTTGAATCCATGTCCACCCAGGTATGGCTTGGACTCTTGGCTTAGACCTTGTAGTTGGTAAAGGGGCAATGGGGATACAGGAGCTAAGTTCCTCGCAGCAGAATTCCTAGCATAAATGCAAAAGTAGGGAGGTTATGCTTTAGTCATACAGGGCACTGGTAAGACGGCACTTGTAATACCATGCACAACACTGGTCATCTTATTTATGGAAGGATGTTAAGTAAATACATTGGAGGTAATTCAGAGAAAATTAACCAGAGGAATACCAAGAATGAGAGGGTGGTCTTACGAGAAAGGTTGGACAAGCTCGGCTTGTATCACTGCAGTTTAGCGGAATAAGACGTGATTTTATTTCAGTAAGTAAAATCGTAAGCAGTCTTGAAATGGTAGATGTGGAGATGATGCTTCCCCTCATGGAAGGATCTAGAACCTGGGTCAATGATTAAAAATCGGGTCACCCATTTTAATTAGAGATAAGGCATTTACTTCTCCATCAAAGGGTCACAAGTCCTTCAAACTATCTGTCTGAAAAGGTGATGAAAGAAGAAACCTTGAACAATTTTAAAGCAGCGCAACGTGAAAGCAAAGCAGAACTTACCAATTGTGAAGCGATGCTCAAGTCCGGTATTTCTGCTGAATTGGCAGATCTCCTTTGAAGGGATCCTCTGGCAACCACTAAATGCACAGATCCTTGAGTCTGCTGAAGCATTGCAATGGCTTCTTGATGGGAAATGTTCTCATCTAATGGTGTACGATTCAAGGCCAATATCTGGTCTTGCTCTTGCAACCTGCCATCCCTTTCCACAAAACCCAAAAAGCTTTTTAATTAGCAACCTGAGCAGAAAGTATGAACATTTTTGGCTATTCAAAAGCAGCACTTCAATCTTTTATTTCCATCGAGGAAAGTATTTAATAGTGACTACGCATAATTTGGAGGATTTCAGAATTTAACTTCATGAGGCTGCCTGGTAGCACCAAAGGGTTGTAAATCTGAATCCCAGCCTCAATTGACATTTAAAGCTACTTGTAAAAAATGAGCAAAGTTAATATGTAAAAGAAATCCATTAGTCCTTGGAGCAAAACACTAAACAACAAGTTAGCATTCCTATAAGAGCAACTCAAATAGTAAAATCTCTGAAAGCTGCTGGATGGGAATGCAATGACAGAAAAATTGAAATTGAGCCAAATCAGAAGACATCAAGAATTATTTCGTTTGAGTGGACAGTATTAAGGATGGAGAGACAAAGAGTTTAGTGATGGAATTCCTAAGCTTCAAATCTAGACAGCCGAAGGCATTTTCGCAAAATGGGGAAGGGATGTAAAAAGGTGGGGAGCGCAGAAGTGGCCTCGGTTAGAGAAATGCAAAGTTCTGAGAGAGTTGAGTGATGTTAAACAGAGAGGAAAGGATGAAGCCAAGGAAAGATGTGAACACTTAATCATAGACTAAAGAAAACAAACTATGCCAGCATCTCTCATCATGTAGATATTTTCCAATCAACCTGTTCACAGATGCTATTTCACACCTCTGGAAGCAGGGGTTCATGAATTCAGGCCTCCAGGCTCAGAGGTAAGGAAACTACAACATCCCACAAAAGCCCTCCTCCCGTCAATGTAATGGAAATCTAAGTGTCAGAACATGTGAATTATCCAAACAGAGGAAAAGATTTGATGCAGGCAAGCGGCAGAAGAAGGAAGAGGTTATGTAGGTGAGATTTTATTTCAGAAAATAAAATTCTCAGTCAGGTAAAGTGAATAAACGCAAGCTTTATTATGTAGATGCAGGGAATAACTTTATATTTGGGTAACAAAAACTATTTTTGTCAGTGGGGGAACATTTTGGGGCCAGTGATCATAACGCTATTAATTTTAAAATCGTTATGGAAAAGGATAGATCTAGAAGTTAAAGTTCTAAGTTGGAGTACAGTTGATTTTGATGGTGTTAGACAAGAACGATCAAAAGTTGAATTGAACAGTTTATTCGTAGGTAAAGGGATGATTGGAAAGCGGGAGGCCTTCAAAAATGAAACAACAAGAGTTCAGAGACACTATGTTCCCGTTAGCGTGAAGGGCAAGGCTGCTAGTGGTAGGGAATGCTGGATAACTTGAGAAATTGAGGCTCTGCTCAAGAAAAATAAGGCATGTGTCAGGTATAGACAGCTGGGATCAAATGAATCCCTAAAGGAGTTTAAGGGCAGTAGGAGTATACTTGAGAGGGAAATCAGGAGGGCAAAAAGGGGACATGTGATATCTTTGGCAAATAGGGTTAAGGAGAATCCAAAGAGATTCTACAAATACTTTAAGGGCAAAAGACTAACTAGGGAAGAGAATAGGGTCCCTTAAAGATCAATGAGGTCATCTGCATGTGGAACCACAGGAGATGGATGAGATACCAAAGGAGGATTTCACATCAGTAGCTTCTGTGGAGAAGGATTTGGAAGCTAGACAACTTGGGGAAATAAACAATGATATCTTTAAAAGTGTCCATGTCACAGAAGAAAAGGTGCTGGATTTCTTAAAATGCATAAAGGTGGACAAACCCCCAGGACCTGATCAGGTGTATCCTAGAACTTTGTGAGAAGCTAGGGAAGAGATTGCTGGGCCCCTTGCTGAGATAATCGTATCATTGGTAATCACAGGTGAGGAGCCGGAAGACTAGAACTTGGCTAATGTGTTGCCATTATTTAAACAAGGTGCTAAGGAAATGTCAGGGAACTATAGACTGGTGAGCAGGTTATTAGAAGGGATTCTGAGGGACAGGCAAGGACTGATTAGGGATAGTCAACATGGCTTTGTGGGTGAGAAATCATGTCTAACTAACTTGATTGAGTTTTTTGAAGTAGTGACAAGGAAGAATGATGAAGGCAGATTGGTAGACGCTGTCCATATGGACTTCACCAAGGTATTCAACATGGTTCTGCATGGTAGTCTGGTCAGCAAGCCTGGATCACATGGAATCCTGGGGGAGCTAGCCAATTGGATATAAAATTGGCTTGGAAGTAAGAGACAGAGGGTGGTGGGAGAGGATTGTTTTTCAGGCTGGAGGCCTGTGATCAGTGGTATGCCACAAGGATCAATGCTGGGTCCACTGCTCGTTGTCATTTACATAAATAATTTGGATGTGAATACAGGAGGTATGGTTAGTAAGTTTGCAGATGAAACCAAAATTGGTTGTGCAGTGAAGAAGGTTACCTCAGAGTACAATGGGGCCTTGATCAGATGGGCCAATGGGCCAAGGAGTGGCAGATGGAGTTTAATTAGATCAATGAGAGGTGCTGCATTTTGCAAAGGCAAATCAGGGCAGGACTTACACAGTTATTGGCAGGGCCCTGGGGTGTGTTGCCGAAGAAAGAGGCCTAGGAGTGCAGGTGCATCGATGCTTGGAAGTGGAGTTGGAGGCAGACAAGGTGCTTGGCATGCTTGCCTTCGTTGGTCGGTGCATTGGCTCTACGAGTTGGAAGGTCATGTTGCAGCTGTACAGGATATTGGTTAGGCCACTTTTGGAATACCGCATGCAATTCTGGTCTTTCTGCTATAGGAAGGATATTGCGAAGCTTGAAAGGGTTCAGAAAAGATTTACAAGGATGATGACAGGGTTGGAGGGTTTGAGCTATAGGGAGAGGCTAAATAGGCTGGGGCTATTGTCCCTGGATTATCAAAGGCTGAAGGGTGAACTTATAGAGGTTTATAAAAGCGTGAGGAGCATCGAAAGGTTGAATAGCCAAGGTCTTTTTTCCTAGGTGAGGGAATCCAAAACTAGAGGACACAGGTTTAAGGTGAGAGTAGAAAGATTTGCAAAGGAGCTGAGGGATAACTTTTTCATGTAGAGGGTGGTGCACGTATGGAATAAGCTGCCGAGGAAGCGGTGGAGGTGGGTACAATTACAATATTTAAAAGGCATCTGGATGGATATATGAATTGGAAGGGTTTAGAAGGACATGGGTAAAATGCTAGTAGTTGGGACGAAGTCAGATTGGGATGTCTGGTCGGCACAGATAAGTTGGGCCAATGGGCTTGTTTCCATGATGCATAACTCTGACTCCAAGGAATAAAGGAATTGTATGACTCAATGCAAATAACATGCCCACTCTGAATCACCACTATATTACAAAGTGTAATATTCTTCTGCATGCACCAGCCTTCCCTGTGTCCTCTGCATGAATTCTAATGACAGATGATGGGCTATTTTTACAGTGTATTAATAGTTTCCAAGACATTAGTTAAGGCACCCGAAGGCTAGGTCAGGAATTAGTGTAAGTTTGCATTTTAAGGTAAAAGGACACTACTGGGACTTTTCAATCTCATTTTCGAGATCATTAATGCTGCGAATTGCCACATCAGCGAAACAATAATTGCACAGGGATACTGGAACCACAAGAAAATCATGCCCTAGTCTCCTTAAACAATGAAAGAACGGATAAAGAAAGAAAAATCTAGAAAAACAGAAAAGACATTGGTTAATTAGAGTCAAATAGATGCAGATAAAAAGAGGAGGAAAGGAGGAGTGCATTAGAGGGAAAAGACACAAAGTTAAAGTCAGAAATAAAAAAAACAAGCAAGTGGAACTGCCTACATAGGAATTTTGCGGAAAAAAAAAAGCACAAAGTGTCATCGTGATGGGCATTCACTAAATCTGAGAGTTGTTGACTAATCATTACAATTAATCTGTAGCAATTATTACACAACAGACCCAAAAATCACATCAAAAAAATCCCAGTGAAAAACTTTAAGAACCAATTATCTTTGGTCAACTTTCTCCTTCTGAGCATGTCAGAATTAACAAGTTTCAATTTGCACATACACTGACTCTTGAATATTCTGAAATGGGTATTTCTAATTCTAAGTTTCTGAGCATTACCTCAAAAAATTCGTGCCAACTCAAAACAGATCTTGTCGACAAGACTGGTACAAACAAACATACTACTGAAGCAGCTATGAAGAGATCAACATAGGAACTGAGACAAAAAAAAAATACAATGCCATCAGACTGGTGTTCCATAATTCTGGGAATTGTTCATGAATCATTCCAGTTAATCTCCAATAATTTTTCTATTAGAGACCCAGATTTAGGGGAAGTCAAGGGTATAATGATAATGTCATTGGACTGGCATGCCAGCAGCCTGGTTAATACACGAGGGATATCGGACCAAATCACACCACAGCAGTTGGTGGAATTTTAAAAGCAAGCAGCAAATATCATGTCTCTATTCAAGAGGGGAGGCAGAAAATAGGAAACTGTAGGATAGGTATTTGATGTCTGTCAGGGGAACGGTGTTAGAATTGATAACTGAAGAGACTGTAGCTGTGCACTTAAATAATCTCAAAGTAATCAGGAACAATCAGCATGTTTTAAAAGGGAATAGTGACATTTAATCAATTTATTGGAGTTCTTTGAACAAACATACACTGTGGATGAAGGGCAGCCTGTACACATATTCTGCTTGGACTTTCAGAATGTATATTATAAGGTGCCGCATAGAAGGTTATTGCCAAAAAAAAGACAGAAGATTAGCTGGCTGGCAAAAAAACAAAAAAGCATGCATAAATGATTTGTTGTGAAGTTGGGTAGAGTGCTTGTGAATTGGGAGGCAGGAACTTAGAATTTGGTGCTTGTGAAATGTTAAGGGGGAAGCATTGCGTGGTCCCTTTAAAAGATTATGTGCTTTTCCTACGCTTAGAGATGTAAAATGGATGTCTGTGAGCAGCAGCTTGAAGGTTTGCAAGTACACAGAGAGCACCTGAATTGAAACATTTCTATCAAAAAGCCATACAGTTAGCAGGCCAAGCAGCAGTTTTGTTT